ATTATTAATAATAATAATGGAGACAGTACATTCTGAAAATGTATTGAACATCGTACGAGCCAAATGCAGCTACTTCTTTTGTTTGAACAGGTTACCAAAAGATACCATAGGTATACCAGATCGACCCACGGTTTTGAGATAGTGTGTTGGATATGGATATGTAATCCGCAAAAATTTTAGCGAAACTTATTGTCGTTAACCTCCTCTACAGGGTTTTTATAAATGACTCTAAGGGTGTAGTTGGCCATGGATTGCAAAAATCCCGGTTCGCTGAAATTATGCCTGTTTATGACAGTTCTCACTTGCCATTAATATCATTTGTCATTTAAACTTGTTGTTTGTTACTTAAACTCATCGTATTACTTATTATAAAATTAAAAAAAAAAAGCGAATGACCGTGAAAATAGTTTAGTCTGTTGAACAAGATACTTTCATTGTTACGCATATCGGGCCAAATACCGTGATTTGATAATTCAAGAAACATCGTTAGAGGCTCACATTAGAAATGTAATCAACAGATTTGTTCGAACTGGCAGTGTCAACAAAAGAAAATCTCGTGGAAGATCTTCAGAATCTGAGGAAGTTATTGATGATTAGAGACGACTTGAGCAGAAGATCTTTGACAAGATTTCCTCAGCAGTCAGGAGTTTCTGCTGCAACATGAAATTGAACAGTGGGTCCAAAGTATTGACGAAAGGATATTACAGAACATTTTTGAAATTAAAAAGAGTGTGAACATGTGCCTTGAACAAAATGGTGAACATTTTCAACATTTACTGTGATGTTTAAACGTAATAAATTTGTTTCTTTTTATTGTAATGAATCAGTTTTATTTTTTAATAAGATATGAATAATTTAGGCAACCAGTTATACATGTGTGTGATATGTGTCGTGAGTCTTTAGTCATTTAATAAAGTTCATCTAAAGTGATAGGCGGCACGTTTCCATGACCTACTTGGATCCTATAATCATTTATAAAAACCCTATATAAACGAGTATAAAATTATACTTAATTGTTATTCGAAAAATTCCTAAAAAAAATATATTTTTAATTAGCCTGTGATCGATTTATTGGTTATGGTAAATCGCTTTCATGAGACAAGTAAGGTCTACATTGAGACAAGAAATTGGTTATTTATTGATGACAACTAACGGAAGTAAGTTTAGTTGACAGTCGCAACTTTCATTGTCATTTTGATATTCAGAATCGCGTTAACAAATTCTTGAATCACTCAAAAAAAGTCATTTTACCCTGTAACTGCTATATATGCTCAAATACATGGATCACCTGTAGACACTTATTTTGACTATGTGTAATTATAATAATGTGTTCGGTTGGTGATTTAAAGACGAAGTGAAGGTATTTTAACTTTATTAGTTTATGAAAACAAATACAATTACTTTACATTACATTTCAATTAGTAACTCTTGTAATGACGAAACTGTGCAAGAATAAAGTTTATAGGTATTATGATTTTATAATGTTTCATTAGTAAAAGTAATAAACATTTTTACTGAGATCGTTGTCACACCTGTTATCAACTATAACGGATAATAACGATTATTACCCCTCTATAGACAAAAATCTTCATACAAATTTACTTTGCGCCACAAAAATAGCCTGAAGAAATCGTTATATCTGTAGATAGAACTGCTTAAATATTTGCTCATTAATCGCTGTTTTTTTTTGGTAAATTATTACTGTAATCTCATTTTTCAGTTGATTGGAATGTTGTTAGCAGTAAAGAGAGCAAAAAATTTCCAGCTTCGCTTATATCTAATTGGTTTATGTTCAAACAATTTTAATATTTAACAAAATGCTGCACTCTCCTAGCGTTTGCGTTTCCGAAGTCATGTTCTACAGCGAATATGAATCCAAGAGATATTCAACTGACTATTCCAAAATGACAAGTAAGGCCTACAAAGTGTAATTAAAAGTAGAATGGAATAAATTAATGTTTTATTTTCTGGTTTAATTTAAACTTTAGTTAAATTGGTGAAATAAAACCAACATTCAAAACAGTAATGAACCAAGATCCATGTAAGCTCACGGTTTGTGTAATCGTGCAGTTCTGAATTTACTTACACAAAAAGCAACTGAACTTTTGTTCTCTTTTTCAAATAATAATAATTAGGCCATTATATCTACAGCTTTTAAAAACTGGTGGTTCCAAAGATTTCTACTTTTCGAGCGTCAGCTAAGGAAGTATTGATAAGATCCATCTGCAAAATGTTTTCTTGATGTTTCATAGCCTCTAGAGTTTGGAAAGATATGTCTTCCCTTTCCGTCTGCCTGTTGTTTGTCGCTTGTGTCGAGATTTATTAAGTAATCTCCGAAAATAATGGAACGACTGTTGCCAAATTTTGTTTGTTTTTTAGGAATATCATTTACGCCAACAATTTGATGATGTCACCTTAAAATTTTGCATGGTAAATGCAATTTAAATTTTTATAAAATAACAATCCTGTATGAATCGATATTGATTATTATTTATTTATTATTAACATTTTATAATAGTACCAGAGGAACGCACAGTAACGGCCGAATAGTCAGAGCGTCATACTATGAACGCGTAGATCGTGGGTTCGATCTCCTTAAGGGCCACTTTTTTTACACCGACTTTTTCAACTTACAAGAGATAAAATAAATAAAATTTCGCAAAAAAAATTTTAGAATATTTTAAAGAAGATTTTAAATTAAATAATGTATGGGTGAGGGAAATACAACCTGAACATTTTCCGAATGTTATAAACGTTGACTAAAATTAAAAACAAATGAGTATTGCATTTTGCAACAATTTTTAAATACAAAATAGGCGTAGGTAAGCAACGGCAGATCGTCGACGTTATTTCCTCGCCTAGAGTTAATTATGATGAAGAGAGAAGCACCCTTCCCTTTCTCCCCTTAAATTGATCTCACGTAATGGGGAGATCTTTTCAATTAGAGGCCGGGGCCACCAAATGGCCTTCGCGAACTGCACTTTTCTTTCTTATTTTTTCCATTTCGCTTTTCTCTGTTGCATTTACGTTATATACATTGTTTGCTTTAATGCGTTCCTAGATTAAATGTGATGATATATTAAGAACATCTGGAAAATTTCCTGCCGCAAACGGCCCATCAATAAAGGGTCGAAGGGCCGTGTCCGGTGGTCCAATGTGGAAAATTTCGCTGTCGTGCACTCTCGAATGGAATAGCGACTTTAAAACTGACACAATAGGAAATCAGGACGGGCAGTGTGCTCCGTATTTCGAAAATAAACAGAATTATCCTTCGGTCGGGTGAAAAGCAAGCGAAAACAGTTTGGCGAAGCTGAAAGAAGACACATTTTCAGGCTGAAATGTCACGTAGACTGCGTAAGTTATAAGATTACGGTTTCGCGTGTTTGCAGCAGATTTCATTGGCCACGTTTCCTATCAGATTGTATTAATTCTATTTAATTTAGGCCTCGCGGGCGGATCCAACTACCATAACCTTTGTCGCTGATAGCTACGGACTTATGCCACGCGCATTCACCTAACGACTTTTTCATTGCACGTGCCGAGTAATTATTCACGTTGACGTGAGCTTTCTCGATGGAAAACGTCAAGAAAATACATGTTCCTAACGATCTCTACCCTTATGAGGTCTATTATTTTCGATAAACTGTTTCGGCGCAAAACTTCGAGAGTACTTTGTGTACATAAAAGTTATTTTCCCGGAGAAAATCCCTTAATCTCTTTATGGTTTCTTAATATTACTTTCAGCGGCGAAGGGCCCTCCAAGGGAGGAACTTTCTACCGGTCGCATGTGGATTTCGATGACTAGCCGTTCAGCCGAGAAAGGAATCTGCATTATTAACAATAACGCCAACGTGCATTTTGAATTTGTAAGAAATTCTCCGGGCCCCAGTTATTAAATATACCAAATTCTAATATATACAATAGTTAACCAAAGTATAGAATCGAACGATGACTCCAGTGTTCTAAAAATTATAAATAATTCCAAAAAATTGTATCTAAAATTAAAAATAAGGACCGATAAACATGTCCTGTTGGTTGTACTTCACAGCCAAGAAAAGTTCAGTATCATTACATATTTTTTTACATATATGTGACAATATACGTAGGCTTGGAAATGGATGAAAACAGGTGACGTGCAATATAATGTGATTCTTTTCGAAACAACTTTTAGTTATTTATGTATTAAGGGCATAATCAGGGAGATTGTGGCACGAGGGAATGTTTAAAGCCCGACGAAGGAGGGCTTTTATTTTTCCCGAGTGCCACAATCGACAATTATGCACGTGGTACATACAACGTTTTATTCTATTTTAGTTTCTAAACTATTTTTAACGAAATATTGAGTATTTTCGGCAAGACTGTGTGAATTGTGCCGATGCGAATTTTAATACATAGCTGGCTATTATTTTGATGTTGTTATGGATACCACGTTGATTATTTGATAATTCGTTTTTCAAAATGTAAATTAAACAAGCGAAAAACGTTTATTCAAACGAAAGTTTAGAAGAATTTGAAGTCGGTCAGGTAATGATTTGATAAAATATTATTTTTCCAACTTAAGAAAAATGTTGAATATCGAAGCGTGTTTGAATAATTAAATGATTAGTGTAAATGAACAATCAATTGTTGCTTAGCAATTTTTGACAGATTTGTGCTAAAAAGGCCAATTTAAGCCCGCATTTGGGTGCTTATAAATAAGATTATGGTTCTAAAATAGAATAAACATAAATTAAATGGAAAGTACATATTATAATAAAAATTTCAAAACCTATGTGATAAGTATAAGAGGTATTTATTTTTTTGCTTCTCGAGGCTAAGGTAGGTACTACTATAGTGTGGGGTCCATTGCAGTATCAATTTACATTATTAATTAACAATTTAACAATGTTATGTCATATTAGGCGGAGATAAATGATTAATTATTGCTTTATATTTACAAACAATTTCAAGTTGCCATCTTAAATAATAACAAATGATTAGACGATATTTTATAAACAACGTCATGCTGAATCACAAATTACATGTTTCGTGATGATTGCAACAAATTAAAGAACTATATAAAAGTCAACTTGTTATCATCAGCACTAACAATCGTAGTGCACGCGAGAGTTGCCGTTTAACAGAAGACACGTTAAGTATAAAACGATACTCTTCGAACAAAAAATATTTGTTGAAAAAGTTGAATTCACAATGTCTCTTCTTAGTGCCGGATTATTCTATGATTTGGTAGTGATTGGGGTAACTCTTCTAGTAGTACTAGTAATGTATTACAAATGGTCATTTGGATATTGGAAAAGACGAGGATTAAGTTATTTGGAGCCATCTATACCTTTTGGTAACACTGGCAAGCTTTTTACATCGAAAGCAAGTTTTGCTGAACAATTTGCCGAGTTCTACCATCAATTTAAAAAGCAAGGATTGAAACATGGGGGAGTCTACATGTTTGCACGCCCATTTTACGTTCCCACTGACCCTACGATAATCAAAAGCATTCTGCAGAAGGATTTTTCCCATTTTATTGATCGGGGATTTTATATAAATGAAGAAAACGATCCTTTAAGTGGTCATCTGTTTTCACTAGAAGGTACAAAATGGAAAAATCTGCGTCAAAAATTATCAGCTACTTTTACTTCTGGTAAAATGAAAATGATGTTCGATACAATGGCAAATTGTGCTAAAGAACTGGACAGTTTATTCAATCAAATGGCAACACGTAAAGAACCCGTAGACATTAAAGATGTTCTAGCAAGGTTTACGACCGACGTAATTACCTCCTGCGCTTTTGGAATAGAAGGTAATAGTCTTAAGCATCCCAACACCCCTCTACGATATTTTGGAAAACGCGTCGTCGAGAACACACTTTGGGAAAATTTCAAGAATCTCGCACAATTCATGCTTCATCCAAAATTCCTGGATACAATTCAATTTAAAGTAAATAAACACGACGTAGAAGATTTTATATTAAATCTGGTGAAGAGTACAGTGAACTACAGAGAAAAAAATAACGTTTACAGGAAAGATTTTCTTCATTTGTTGCTTCAATTAAAAAACAGAGGAAAAATTTCTGATGATGAAATTATACTCAGCAGTGACAAAGGAGGGGAAATAGGACTGACTTTCAACGAATTAGCTGCTCAAGTTTTTGTGTTCTTTGTTGCGGGCTACGAAACATCATCGACTGCGATGACTTTTGCATTGTATGAACTGAGCCATCACCAAGATATACAAGATAAACTGCGAAACGAAATTAATACTGTTCTGGCAAAGCATAACAACCAAATATCTTACGAGGCCTTAATGGAAATGACGTATTTGGACCAAGTCATTAATGGTAATATCTGTAAGTAATAATTAACTATAACATTACTGAGTCCCATTCTTTTCACAGAAACATTAAGAAAACATTCACCTTTAGCGTTTTTAAACAGAAAATGTACTCAAGCATACGACGTTCCTGACACTAATATTCGTTTAGAGGAAGGAACAATGATCGTAATACCTACTCTAGCCATCCATTACGATGCAGATTATTATCCAGAACCTTCGAAATTTGATCCTGAACGTTTTTCCGATATGAATAAAAATAGTCGTCCGCCATGTACATGGATGCCTTTTGGTGAAGGTCCTAGAATTTGCATAGGTAAATTTAAATTTTGGGAACGCATTAGCAGATTATATTATTTTTTCTTTTTCAGGTTTAAGATTCGGAATGTTACAGACCAAAATAGGACTAGTGACTCTACTTCGAAGCCGTAAGGTGACGTTAAGCGAAAAAACGCAATTGCCTTTAGTGATGAATAAAAAAGCGTTTATTACCACTACTGACAAGGAAATTTGGCTAAACATATCAGAAATAAATTAATTTATGAGTTAATTTTTGTAATAAGTATATCGTATTATATTAATACAGTTTTGGCGACGGGCAAAAAATAAAATATTTCGTAAAGATAAAGTAGTATGTATAAATAACTATATAGAATTATAAATATATATTAGAATAATAAATCTTAAGGATTACTGTAAAAAAAAAATGTTTGTAATTCCCATGTACTTAATGCTTCTTTAAAAAGATAAGAACTTAGTGAATATGTCCTGAAATAAAAAAATAAAATAATGACAAAAATTGTGCAGTTATGTTATTTGCATCGACTATCCTTGCCCCAAAGAACAATGCGGACAGTATTTCAAAAAATACTGTCCACATTGTATGCACTTCAGGGCTCGCTTTTTAAAAAATATCTGTTTTATACTTTTTGATATAACTTATCAACATTTTAGTAACTTCGTATGCACAATGTAACACTTGTCCTAATATGACTTGTTCCCAAAATTTGGGAAAGACAATTTTGCCACAAAGATACTTCTTACCAACATTTCTAAACAAATCTGTAAATAAATATTTTAAGATAAAATAAAAAATTGGTCGAAGGTCGTTTCGACAGGACTTCCCTCGCCCCTGAAGTACAGTTCAATAAATCTGGATTTTTTAATAATTATAAAATTTGATTTTGTGATAATGTCTCTACATTAAAACAATATATAAATAGACAGTACCAGTAATAGCGCTTACGCTTTAAACTGCCTTTATTTCGAGTGCTTTATAGGGTCAATTTCATCACCATAGCAACGCCGTTTTGCGACTAAATGAACTTGAATTGGCCCCTATGTTACGAAAACACACTCTGTTATATAACTTGTTTATATTTCGTCTGGCGTGGAGTGCAGCTCGCACTCCTGATAGGAAACAGATACGCGATTAACAACTGCTCCAAAAATATTAATGCATTGATGAAGCGCAAGGCTCTGGTTATATTTTTAGTGACTTTTCCCATATGTGGTGGTCCTTGATCTGATTAGTAAAAACAAAAACGTTGCCGGAATCGATCTGCGGACCTCTCATCTGCGAAGTAGAGAGCGCCTCTACAGGTTTATAATAATATTAATAATAATAAAAGTGCAGGAATACATTATTTTATAAAATTAAAACGGCGTTTACTAAGCAACACTGCAGTGTGAGTGAGTAGGATCAGATAAATTTTGATTAGGGTTTTACCATCTACATGATATTCTACACATACGAATTTTGACACCAATCGATCCGATATTTACGGAAATTATCTGGTTAATAAAAATCAACAGACAAATTTTTTATACTCCTAGGGACATGAAACAACATATCAAACGTAGATTGAAATATACAGCGATGTTTCTAAATTAGCCCACACCCTTAAACTTTGGAGCTCCAGGAGGCATTGCTTGGAAATTAAATGAATTCTAATTAATAATAATTGGTCTTAAGCTTATCTTTTTGGTTCAAATTGCATGGGTCCGTAAATTTGACAATAGCCTGTGTTGATATAGAAGTATATGATGCGGTACCAAATAATTTAAAAATAAACGAGGAAACATCTTTGGAACCTTAAAATAAAAAAAAAAATTTTAGATTAATCAGTTTCATATTTTCCGAATAGCAACTTGCATATTTGTAATCTGGGATCTGTAAATTCAAAAATACATTAAATTTGACATTGAGAAGTAAAACTTATGCGTTTTACATACTTATCTGAAATATAAGTTGCAAAAAAATACATGCAAATATATTTGGTTGTTAATAGGACACAATTGGTTGTGCTCACTTTAATTAAAGCATAGTCCACAAATTAAGTAGCCTCCATATTTATCTAATGAAATTTCGATGTAGAAGATTAGAGCGTAAAAATCGATCCCTACAAGAGTCTGCTATAAAGCGCACCCATTAAGACTAGACACCAGTCTACATTGGGAACTCACGGTGAATGTAGTTAACGCGCGATCAGTGATGATGTAACAAATGTAGTGCAGCACGTCTAAAATACTATTTTTCTGAAAAATTAATTACGCGTCGTAATTTGGCTGCAAGTTCATTTATTAAACATTTATTATAATTTACGACTTTTTTCAACTGTTCATTACATGGTAGCCGCTTGTAATACCGTTTACATTACTTTTCTAACCGAAAATATTTAATCGAATTAACAGATATAGCTAAATATTACCATTTTTTCATATCATGCATGTATGCTGGGTGGACTATCACTATGTTCACCGATATCACACATCCAACCTTGAACTTAACTGAACCCACTGTATAAAATAATTACAAATGCTTGATAGCGTAGTTAATTGTAGTCTGATTTAAAATCGTGTTCGATATTAACTTTCTTCTAACTGTGATTTTTTTTCAATTTTATAGGCCCATTAAAACCATGGCTATAGTTACAGCTTGCCTCTGCTATGACATCATAGCAATTATTGTGACTCTTGTGATTGGCGGAATAGCATATATGAAATGGAAATTCACTTATTGGGAACAAATGGGTGTACCAACTTTAACGCCTACAATTCCGTTTGGTACCGCTAAGGATCTAATGTTGGGTCGTCTATCCTTCGGAGAACAGTTCCGCGAAGTTTACAGGATTATGAAAGAAAAAGGTCATCAGCACGCTGGTTTTTACATAGGACCATCACCGGGATATGTGCCGATAGATCCTGAAATCATTAAACACATCATGCAAACCGACTTCCAACACTTTAATAGTCATGGTGGCTTCTTAGACGAAGAAACCGATCCCTTGAGCGGGCACTTGTTTAATCTGGAGGATGTCAAATGGAGAAATTTGAGAGTAAAACTAACTCCGACATTCACGTCCGGCAAAATGAAGATGATGTTCCAGACCATAGCAATAATTAGCGACAATTTAAAGAATTTAATAGACGATTCGGCTGATAACGACTTAGGTATTGATATCAGGGACATTCTCAGTAGATTCGGAACTGATGTTATCAGTTCGGTGGCATTTGGATTGGAATGTGATAGTCTGAAAGATCCAGATGCACCATTTAGGACTTTCGGCAAAAAAGCTACTGAAATGGATTTTTGGGATACAATTAAAATTTTTATGCAAGTGATTTTACCTCACTGGTTTTTGCACGCAATTAAACACAAGTTTACTAAGAGAGATGTTGAGGAATTTTTCATGAAGGTTGTTCGTAACACCGTCGAATACAGAGAAAAGAATAACTATTACCGAAAAGATTTCATGCATTTACTTTTGCAACTGAAAAATCGGGGGACTGTGGCCGATGACGAACAAATCAAAGATGAAACAGGCGAGTCCAAAGAAGTTGCTTTAACCATGAATCAGTTGGCCGCACAAGCTTACGTTTTCTTCATGGCTGGATACGAAACTTCTTCTACCACGGTCACCTTTGCTTTATATGAGCTTGCTGTCAATTCCGACATTCAAAGTAAATTAAGGGAAGAAGTAAATTCTGTACTAGCTAGACATGACAACAAAATGACCTACGAAGCAGTAATGGAAATGACATTTATGGAAAAAGTTTTGTTTGGTAAGTTTTCCCGCTAATCTCGACCACTATGCTGAACTATTCGTTTCAGAAACTCTTCGAAAATATCCGCCGCTACCAATTTTAACAAGATTGTGCACGAAAGATTACATTATACCGGGTACCGACGTACAGCTGAATAAAGGTGTAGGAGTTATGATTTCAGTACTGGGATTACATAGCGATCCAGAATATTATCCGAATCCAGATATTTTTGATCCAGAGCGATTTTCTGAGGAGAATAAACAAAGCAGACCATCTTTTACGTGGCTGCCATTTGGTGACGGGCCAAGAATTTGTATCGGTAAGACATACAAACTAGTGTTAACTTAACTTTACTAATTTATGTAACGTTAACAGGAATGCGATTTGGTATACTTCAAAGCAAAGTGGCCTTAGCTACTTTTGTCAAGAATTACGATATTAAATTAAACAAAAGAACACTCAGTCCTTTGCAATTTGATAAACGAGCTTTCGTTTCAAGAGTAGCAGGAGGAGTTTGGCTTGACGTCACGAAGTTGACTTAAATATTTACTATTTTACACAGTTTTTATTACGTTTTGTAATACGTAATTATAATCGTAATGTAATTTGCTAACTAATTTTGATGTGAGTTGATGTTGATGACAGTCAAAATAAATATCCGATAATAAATGTGAGTACCTAAGTGGAGGTACATTAACTAAATTAAATCCATATAAAAATAGCGATATGTGTGTACAAAACACATGTAATGCTAACAAAATAAAAGTGCTTATCACTGTGAATTTCACTTATCTTGGCATTAGCAATGTCATATCTCTCGAAACAGTTACGTGGTAAAAATTATATGTGAATAAATATAATATAAATTGTTCACTTTTCGTAACTTGAAATTATGGTGCCGTGAGTGCAAAACGAAATCGTAACTGACGTGCTTTTTAAAACCCTCAGAACATGGCAGTTTTCACTTCGAATATTCTGTACGATGTTACAGCTGTATTCGTCACGCTCCTATTCGGATTAATACTATACAGCAAAGTTTCTTCACTGGGTTAAAATTGGTCTACCAATTTTACAACCAACTTTCCCGTTTGGAGACGCAAAAGATATAATACTTGGACGTCGGACAATTGGAGAGGTGTATAAAGACTTCCACAGAAAGTTCAAAGCCAACGGATTCAAACACGGAGGAATTTATATGTTTTTATCTCCGGTTTACCTTCCAATCGATCCGGATATAATCAAACACATAATGCAAAAAGATTTTCAACACTTTATCAACCACGGAGTAAGTTTGGATGAGAAAATTGATCCTTTAAATGGGCATTTATTTAATCTAGAAGACGAAAAATGGAAAAACATGAGAATAAAGTTAACACCGACGTTTACTTCTGGTAAGATGAAGATGATGTTCCAAACTTTGGCAGATTGCTCTATTGGTCTGAAAGATATTATGGATGAATCTGCTGCGAATCATTCACCCGTTGATATTAAAAACATATTAGGTCGCTTTACCACAGATATTATTGGATCTGTAGCATTCGGATTGGAATGCAATAGTTTGAAAAATCCTGATGCTGAGTTTAGAAAATACGGCAAAAAGATTTTCGAAGTGTCCACTTCGGAACGATTAAAAACACTATCTCTGTCGATATTGCCTAAAAGTGTAGTACGTGCTCTTAATTTGAAAAGAACTAAACCTGATGTAGAGCAATTTTTTATGAAAGCAATTCGAGATACCGTCGACTACAGAGAAAAAAATAACGTTTATAGAAAGGATTTCTTACATTTACTTATTCAATTGAAAAACAGAGGTTCAGTAGAAGAAGATGACAAGCTTTCAGACGGTGGTAAGTTGACAGAAAAAGCGTTGAGCATGAACGAACTTGCGGCGCAAGCTTACGTATTCTTCCTCGCTGGATTTGAAACCTCATCTACGGCGATGACTTTTGCTTTGTACGAATTAGCAACTAATCTACACGTACAAGATAAATTAAGGAAGGAAATAAATACTGTACTTGCCAAACATGATGGTCAACTCACATACGCGGCAGTTATGGAAATGGCATATTTGGAAAAAGTTCTACATGGTATATTAACCAAGTGCTAAATTTAAGAAAGGTTAATTTGTTTGTTTTAGAAACTTTACGTAAACATCCGCCGATTCCAATCATAGTGAGAAAATGCAATAAGGATTATACCATTCCGAACACTTCTATTCACCTAAAAAAAGGGACAAGGGTTAATATATCAAGTGCAGGCTTACATACTGATCCAGAATATTATCCAGATCCCGAGAAGTTTGATCCTGAACGTTTTTCAGACAAAAATAAAAAAACAAGGCCGGATTTTACATGGCTTCCGTTTGGAGAAGGGCCAAGACTTTGCATAGGTAAGTCAGGTTATAATTATTTAGAGCGATATTTCAACTTTTAACTTATTAGGATTGCGTTTTGGTATGCTTCAAAGCAGAGTGGGATTATGCGTACTACTGAAAAATTATAAAATTACCCTCAATGGAAGAACTAAAGTACCGACACAAATGGACAAGAGAAGTTTCGTTTCGGCCGTGGAAGGAGGAGTTTGGTTGAATGTGGAGAAATTAGACTAAAAGTAATGATATTTCTGCATTTAAACGTACTATCAATAAATTGATACTTGGATGTAAAGATTGATGAGGTCATTGACGGACAAGACTGGGTCAATTGCCTCATTCGCATGTTGGTTTTGAAAGAATTTTGACAAGTTAATTGGATCGATCAGATTCTAAGGCCTGTATGTGTATGGTGCGTTTAGATAATTAGTAGTCGAATTGATCCGTATATAACTGTTTAATAACAAATTATTGTAGAAATTCTTCTACCTATTGTTTAGAAATTATTTAGTACACGTTAACTTTAGATAATTATTTTTGTTAAGAAGGAAGTGTCTTTAAAAGAGCGTCACATCGATTGGACAGTGTGAAATTTAATTAAAACCGTCCAAATCTGCCGCTCGTCCTTGCATGAATACTTGCGGTACGTGACAATTTGACATGACAATCGATTATGACATTCTGTATATATTCATAATCGAAACAGCAAAGGATCATGTGCTGTCCATGCTTTCAAAACGCTTTATGGCAGTATTTCTGTGAATTATTATGTTCTTAATGAGGATTAAACATTTTTAAAACATTTGTACAGTTATTTATTTATGTAGAAATTTCCCCGTCTTTGGAGTATAGAGCGCATGCATCTCTGTGTTGCGCCATAAAAATTAATACAGACATTTATATGTCCCTGGGCTGTTTTCCATGTTTCTGTGAGTGATTTAAAAATCTAAGAGTAATTAAAAATTTCGCAATTCACTTGTGAATACAAACTTATTTGTCAGAGTTGCTAAGGATTTAATAATAGTTATTTATGTACCAAGTCAGTAAAGTGATTCTTTATCGAACGAGTCTGAGATTATGAGCCGAGCGAGCGAAGCGAGCGAGGCGAGTAACAGGCGAGTTCGATAAAGATCCTTTACTGACGTGGTGCATACAAATTTTTATCGCCAACCTTAAAAATTTATAATTAAAAATAATGGAAATGTTATGACTTATCATATTTTATTATGACAGTAAACGTATAATAACAATGAGTCAAAAGATATCTACTTATTACTTGTTATATTAAATGTAAATGTACAACCTCACGGATTATAAAAATTGAGTCCTGAAGTCGAAGGAGTTTGAAGTGAAAATGTTTGATGATTAGCCGTGCTAATAATTTCATTAGGTGAATCTTGAGTAAAATTATCATTGGTAACAAATATGTTGTCAGTTTGACTTTCACCTAAAATTGTCTCTGCGATTTTCATTTTATTGAGCACAGATTCCCCAACATAGGACTCTGCAATCGTATCAGAACTTTTCTCGTTGGAACCGTGACAGTGACAGACAGAATGTCATACAGTCATGGTTATGTTGACAATTATAAGCGGCAGGTAAAGTGCTTGATTTTTACAGTAAAATAAAGTGTTTGTTTACTTCCGAAAATCGCTATGGTAATGCATGTCTCTATTGCCGGTTGGCGATAAAAACAGTTTAAAACATCAAAACTGAAATTGAATTGGCCTTATTTTTAGTAGATAAATAGTCTTTTATCCACGGGCAGATAAAGAAGTCTTTAATCTACTCTTTATTCTGTAATTTGTTAAGGCTACAAAATGAAGCCAAATAAACAAAGTGAAACAAAGACGACACGATTATTTGATCTATGACCAACGCGTTTGCGTTCGATGAAGCGCGGTGCGGCGTATTGACCATATTTCGTACGATCACATTTAAACAGTTTTCAAGTTTCAATAAAAATCTGGTACAAAATAAAATAAAATATTATACTTGACAATAAAGAATATTCATATATTCCTGAAAAATAGTCCACTCGTGAATGAACACTTTTCACTCGTACGTAAAAATTCTTTTCATCATCTTGTATAATAATTAACTATAATTTATTCATTAATTGGGCAACCCTGGTTAGTTGGTGGGACGAAAAGAGCGTAATAAGGCATTTTAGTAAGGAATTCAAAAAATCAAAACCAACGACATTCTACTACTGAAATGCGTTTTTTCTGTTTAAAACACCAAGTAATCGTGAAACACTTAAACGTATTTCTCTGGTCATGATGTTTTTCTAAATAATGCTGACTGATAACAAACTATATAAACAGATCAGACACTGCTTACATTTCAGTTAGGTTATCAATATTCCCAAACGCACTGTTTTGTTATTCCTTTACTGTTTTTCAACATGAGTGTCTTAACCGAATCCATTGCTTTTGAAGCCATTGCTGTTTTGACAACGACCATCGTTATAATAATAGCGTGGTGTAAATGGCAATTATCATACTGGGAACGAATGGGTGTACCAACTTTAACACCAACATTTCCGTTTGGCAACACTCAAGACTTTATTCTTGGACGCAAATCATTTGGTGAACAAACTCGCGATTTGTACAGGGCACTTAAAGACAAAGGATATCGGAAACATGCTGGTATTTATTTAGGACTTAAACCATTTTATTATGTGATTGATCCAGATCTTATAAAACAAATTCTGCAAAAAGATTTCCAGCATTTTGTCAACCACGGCAATTATTTAAACGAAAAAGATGATCCTTTGACGGGAAATTTGTTTTCTTTAGAAGATACAAAATGGAGAAACATGAGGGTAAAACTCACACCAACATTTACTTCTGGAAAGATGAAAATGATGTTTCAAACATTAGCTGATTGTACGGTTGGATTGAAAGAGATTATGGATGCATCAGCAACAAACCGCACGTCTGTAAACATTAAAGAAATTTTGGGTCGATTTACCACTGATATCATTGGTTCGGCTGCTTTTGGTCTGGAATGTAATAGTCTTAAAGATCCAAATGCACCATTCAGAAAGTATGGGAGACGTGTTTTTGAAATAAATAAAATTGATCGATTAAAATTTATGTTACAATTTATGGTACCACATAATATATTGCGTGCTTTGAAGTTCAGAATTACAAAAGCTGACGTGGAAAAATTCTTCATGAAAGCAGTTAAAGATACTGTCGATTACAGAGAAAAAAATAACATTTATCGAAAAGATTTCATGCATTTGCTTTTGCAACTGAAAAATCGTGGTGCAGTTGCAGATGATGGAAAAATAACAGATGACCATGGAAACACAGCACAGGCAGCTTTAACTATGAATGAGCTTTCAGCACAAGCTTTCGTATTCTTTTTGGCCGGTTTTGAAACATCATCGACAACAATGACTTTTGCTTTGTATGAACTGGCAAGGAATTCAGATGTGCAGGAAAAACTAAGACAAGAAATAAATACAGTACTAGAAAAACATAACAATGAACTGACATACGAAGGAATTATGGAAATGACTTACATGGATAAAGTACTAAATGGTAAAAGTAAATGATGTGTTAGAAAAAAATGAAATTAATAATAATTTTACAGAAACTTTGCGAAAACATCCACCAGTTCCATTCTTGCCTAGAAAATGCACGAAAGACTATACTGTTCCACACACATCCATCGTAATAAAAAAAGGAACGTCTGTCACTATTCCAGTTTTAGGGCTACATATGGATCCGGAATATTATCCCGCTCCAGAGAGGTTTGATCCTGAACGATTTTCTGAAGAAAATAAAAATTCTAGACCTGCATTCACTTGGATACCATTTGGAGAAGGCCCACGAGTATGCATTGGTAAATAAATATCATTCAAATAAGTAGATAAAAATGTTTGTTCATCAAATCAGTAGTTTATTGAATGCTACTGAACTTGATTAGTCTGTTTATAACTTCGAATTCCTTATTTGAAGAGGACGGTCGTTTTTTTATTTTCATAATGTTGATGAACTAACATTAATACCTGTCTCTACATATTTAGAGCAACTGTTAAAAAATAAAAACTTCCAGGTTTACGTTTTGGATTGTTACAAAGTAAAGTTGGTCTAACGACACTTTTACGGAATTACAACATTAAACTGAGTAGTAAAACTACATTGCCTCTTCAGCTGGATAAGAATACCTTGATCAGGACTGTATTCGGTGGCATGTGGATTGATGTTGAAAAAATAAATTAAAATAAATATTGTATATTTGTAATGAACTAAATTGTGACAAGCATAAGCTGATTAGGACTGTATTGAGTGGCATGAGGATAGATATTAAAAAACTGAATTTAAATAAACATTGTGTATTTGTGATGAAACAAATTGTGATAAACATACTGTTGAATACGATACAAATGTCTTTCGCTTTATTTTTATTTTAAACACAATAATTTCTGTATATTACAACTATCTACTTTCTACTTGGAAAAATTGGCCAAAATCTTAATAAGTGATAGGCACTTGCATAGAACATCACAACACATGAGCACGAATTCAGGAATATTTGTGTAGTACTTTGAAGACTCGCTATAAACAAGAGTTTGTTTTAGCAATGAATTCATCACCGTCGTTACTTTTACGCGTTTCTGAAGTGAACTGCTGTGTTGTTTGGTGTCCAATGCGTAGTATAAGACAGACCAGTCTGTCAAATGCTGCAGCTTAATAGATCACTTTTAAAACAACACTGTATCAGCAACTGAAGAAAAAAAAGTTACTAATGGAACACATACGATTGAAATTCACCTAGTTTGAAACGGTCTTATCAGTAGGCAGCATCTTCGCCAGAAAAGCATCACATGTGGTCCACCGAACGATGTTGTTTATGATTTGTCATTTTACCAACATCATAATATCAACGACCCTTCGAGTGCAATACCAAACAATACATTATGAAGGCGATTTTGAAAAGAAACGTGGGTAAGTGAATTCGATGGTTAAGCTGAGGGAATCATGGTTCATGGTCTACGAAAAAATAAGCGCAAATGCTAATGAAACTCAAACGACGGAAGGTACATTCTAGGACATATACTGTGGCATAGAATTAGATGATAGAAGTATGATATTTTTCATATCTACTAAACAGCATAAGTAAATAAAACAGTTCTTGTTTTTATCCGAAGCATAACTTTATTCTTAGTAGATATTCTTTCAAGTGATTTCATATTTTATAACACATAATTCATCTAGATGCTGTACATTATACAAGTCATAAAATAAATAACTTGAATACTGATATTGAGCAACTAGCCTTCTCCGAAAATTACACTAATAAAATTATCTTTTGAGCATGCTTTTAAATTGTTTAAAAGTTAGCTCAATGAAATCTTTTATAGGAACTGTCTACATTATTAGGAGTAACAATAACAACGTAAAAATTAAATGGTTTTCGAGCGAGCCTAAGAAAATGAGATCCACACCGTTGAAGCTCTTTATGTTATTCGTAATTGTAATCCTAATACGAAAAATATCGATACATTTAATTATGTCAACAAAGATACATTCAAAAGTTATCTTACATCCACTTAAAAAAAAAAAAGTAAACAGCGGTTTAAAAATAAACCACCAATGAGAAACAAAAAAATCATTCATGTTTTAATATGTACATTTTTTGTAAACATTCCTCTAAAAATTGCATCTTATAACAATGTAGATAGTGTAGATTAGGTACAAAATTTTAACATTTTTTGGCCAGTCATTGTTTATTCACCTAAGAGATAAGAATAAATTGTCTAATGCGTCAAAAAATGCTGCTGATTAATGCATTTACGACTCGATCCTCATGCTTAAACACTAGTGTTCTAGACAAAAAAATGCTCATTTCATATAGCATTTATTTTTATTAGTCAAACTTCAACAGCTAAATAACCAAAGTAGCAATTATTCTACAAGAATTTTTAAAATTCAAAAAAAGCAGAGTCAACTATCATATTATCTGCACATATTACTTTTCAAAAAACCTCAAAATTCTGCCTCTGTCACCATTTTATATTTTAATACACTTTTCTTCTTCATAAAAGCTATAGTGGATGAATTAAATATTTAATATGAATAGTACGTGAAACTGAAAATTCCATTATTTTAATCTGATCACATGCTCGATCAATAGCATGATTAAGCGTTCCTGTAAATCGGGTCTATCATTATGATATAACTGTTTGTGTTATATCTAAATTTTTGCTGTTGTTTTTTTAATAACTGCACATATATAGTGTCGTGTTTCTTTGTTGTGAAGTACAAATGTATCAGATTTATATAATAATAAATAAATAAATATATGCAATGTAATCGTGAAATGTTTAAACCGTTGTCATTGTCACTTCATTATTGATATGAGATAACAAAGTACATAAAGAGATTTTATGGCACTCTTATTTTAGTTATTAATTATCAGCACTCTGTACACGGTTTCGTACTTTATTTGTTTCTATTCATATTGCAAGTAACGTTCAACCATGGGTGTCTTTACCGAGTCCAGTACCTTTGACGCTGTTGCAATTTTGGTCACAATCATTGTTGGAATAATAGCATACTGCAAATGGAAATTATCATACTGGGATAAAATGGGTTTACCAACTTTAACACCAACATTGCCTTTCGGCAATACGAAAGATCTACTTCTTGGACGAAAAACATTCGGTGAACAATTCCGTGACTTATATAGAACACTCAAACAAAAAGGATACAGAAAACACGCTGGTGTCTATCTTGGAATCAAGCCATTCTATGTCACGATTGACCCAGAACTTATAAAACACATCATGCAAAAAGATTTTCAACATTTTGTCAACCACGGCTTCTATATTAACGAAGAAAATGATCCTCTAACCGGACATCTATTTAACCTCGAAGATGCGAAGTGGCGAACCATGAGAGTGAAGCTCACACCAACATTTACTTCTGGGAAGATCAAAATGATGTTCCAAACGTTAGCCGACTGCAGTGTCGGTCTAAAAGACATTATGGACGAATCGGCAAGTAACCATGCTCCTGTAGATATTAAAGAAATATTGGGTCGCTTCACCACAGATATCATTGGATCGGTAGCTTTTGGTTTAGAATGTAACAGTCTTAAGGATCCCGATGCAGAATTTAGAAAATATGGTAGGCGTGTTTTTGAAGTGACTAACATGGAACGAATCAAAGCTTTAATACAATTTGCCGTACCTCATAGAATTCTAGACGCTATAAAATTTAAAACCACCAAACCAGATGTGGAAAAATTTTTCATGAAAGTTGTTCTGGACACTGTAAATTACAGAGAAAAGAATAATCTTTATCGGAAAGATTTTATGCACCTACTCTTGCAGTTGAAAAATCGGGGAGCCGTCACAGAAGATGAAAAAATAAAAGATGACAATGGAAAGACCACAGAAAAAGCTCTGACTATGAACGAACTTACGGCGCAAGCTTTTGTCTTCTTTTTAGCTGGTTTTGAGACATCATCTACCACAATGACATTTGCGTTATACGAGCTTGCAACTAGTCCAGATGTACAAGAAAAACTCCGAGAAGAAATTAACACGGTACTGGATAAACACAACAATAAACTAACATACGATGGACTTATGGAGATGACTTACATGGATAAAGTATTAAACGGTAAGCAAAAATATCTAAGTGCTGATAATATCCAATTAATCTTCGAAATTCTACAGAAACCTTAAGAAAGCACCCACCCGTTCCAATGTTGAACAGACGATGTACAAAAAATTATACAATTCCTGGCACATCTATCGTTATTAAAAAAGGAATAGATATTGTGATTCCTGTTTTGGGACTTCATACAGATCCAGAATATTATCCAAATCCAGAAAAATTCGACCCTGAAAGATTTTCTGAAGAACTCAAACACTCCAGACCAGCATATACTTGGATTCCGTTTGGCGAAGGACCCAGAATATGTATAGGTATAAGATGTCCATCACAAATTAACACTGTTATTATACAAAAATTTATCTTTGTAGGTATGCGATTCGGATTATTACAAAGTAAAGTAGGTTTGGCTACTCTTTTGAAAAACTACAAAATTACATTAAGCAAGAAAACGGTACTGCCACTCAAGCTAGACAAAAACTCTTTTGTTACAACCGCCGCTGGAGGCATTTGGATAGATGTTGAGAAGTTAGATTAAAGACAATCTTCAAGTTCCGAGAAAACAATTTAAATGTTATCTGGCAGAAACAAGCTTTTGTCATTTTTTTCACACTATAATGTTGTTATCGGTGCAAATATTTCCAAATTCTAATGTTAAGTATGGCTTAGAAACAATAAATAACGAGTTTCATATTCTATATTTCAAGTATTAAAACTATCGTAATGTGTTTGTGTAGATAATGAAAAGATTGGTTTATAGAACATCGTCGTAGTTTATCTCTATTTGTATAGATACCTACTTAAAATATTTCAATTCTCAAAACTTTGTTCCCAAGGTGCAATTCAAAGCTTTCGTCTTAAAAAAAGGTTTTTACATAACGAATATATACTAAATATCCAGTACTAGCAACGATGTAAGATGTGTCAAATTATCACCACCGTAATTTCTTTTAAATCTTCATTTGTATACAATTTATTTCATACTGATCATGATCACCCTGTGTTGGGATATATATTTTTTTTATATTTAGTAAGTACGTCATCTCCTGTACAATACGACGCTTCATTCAAACATGCTGAATACAATAACCTTGACACTATGTACCTACTCATCTAATGATTTGAGCTTAAATATTTCATATCAGTTCAGTACTAACGCAGTAATGTACATAAATAAATTGAACACCTTTGTTAAGTTGACAGTATTTTTTATTTAATTTGTGGTTTAACTTCGTGTATCCCTGTTCGTAAATAAAAACGTGAGGCTACAGCGGACTCGGTATACCACGTAAGTAATTAATATATTCATGTTATATATTTGGCGTAATATGTGCGTGTCATTTTTTAAAATGTTTAAATATTTCTATATTTTGTAAACAATAAATTTTATAATCAAGATAACGTACAACTCTCCGATTCACACCTTAATATGGCATGGCAACACATGAGAGAACTGACAAGCACGTGACAGGTCTGTCAGATCTATACTCTAACACAAACGTGTTTGTATGTGACGTGATGTCATTTTCAAATCGATGATGCCAACTGCAAATTTTATGTTACCACCTACTGCAAATTATAAAGTAAAGTACTGGCTTAATTTAAGTCTTAGCACTTTTACTGTAGTGAAAGCGTAAATATTTTTTTATTATTGTAAAAGAACTGTAACCATTGAAGGTAAAAAAGGCCTTTTAACAATCATACAGTAATTTTTATTATCTATTTTAAGTCAACTTAAGTCTCTCCGTTATCGAGAATTCAATAACAGGAAAAAAATTCGCTAAACAATACTTCTACATTTTTATTTAATTCAAGGTGGATTCGTGCTTATCAACCAAAACGAAATTTGTCGAAAATATCATTATTTTTAAAAAACAACTGTAATCTTTCAAACATAAAAACTACAAGGTTATCTTTCAGATGTGAACACAATGACGTTTATCACGGATAATATCGTCTTCGACATTATAGCAATTTTGTCTACGATTTTTATAGGAACAATAGCCCTCCTAAAATGGCGCTTAACGTATTGGAGCCGCATTGGTTTACCATCACTGAATCCCGTACTAATATTTGGAGACATAAAAGATTTCATCCTTGAACGACGTACCCTTGGCGAACAATTTCGAGAGTTCTACCACGCCTTTAAATCTAAGGGGCACAAACATGGTGGTGTTTACCTTGGTCCAAAACCATTTTATGTTCCAATTGACCCGGAAATTGTCAAACACATAATGCAAACGGATTTTTCACACTTTATGAATCATGGTAACTACTACGACGAAAAAGCCGACCCTCTAAGTGCTCATCTATTTAGCTTGGAAGATGCCAAGTGGAGAAACATGAGAGTTAAATTAACACCAACTTTTACTTCGGGAAAAATGAAAATGATGTTTCAAACTTTGGCAAATTGTGCTTTGGGCTTGAAGGATATCATGAATGAGTCAGCTTCGAATGGTATACCAGTTGATATTAAGGACGTCCTGGGTCGTTTTACCACCGATATTATTGGCTCAGTCGCATTTGGATTGGAGTGTAACAGTTTAAAAGACCCAGATGCTGAATTCAGAAAATACGGGAGAAAAGTGTTCGAAGTGGGAATAATTGAGAGGATCAAAGTAATATTGACACTTACTGTGCCGTTTTCAATTCTAAGAGCGCTCAACTTTAAATTTACCAATGGTGAGGTGGAACGATTCTTCATGAAAGCTATTCGCGACACTGTACGCTATAGAGAGACAGACAATATTTACAGGAAAGATTTTATGCATTTGCTTCTGCAGTTGAAAAATCGAGGTACTGTTGCGGACGATGATAAAATAACTGACGAAGATGGTAAAATATTTGAGAAGGCGTTAACAATGAATGAACTTTCCGCACAGGCTTTCGTGTTTTTCTTGGCAGGATTTGAAACATCATCTACTACAATGACATTTGCACTGTACGAGTTGGCTACTAACCCAGATGTCCAAGAAAAACTGCGCCAAGAAATTAACGCTGTACTTGAAAAATATGATGGTCAATTAACTTACGACGGAGTATTGGAAATGACTTACATGGAAAAAGTACTACATGGTAATTGTTTGTAAACGTAAAAAAAGCATGACTCAATTTTTTTTTCAGAAACTCTAAGAAAATACCCTCCACTACCTGTATTGACAAGAAAATGTAATAAGGAGTACACGATTCCTAACACTTCGATTCGCTTAGAAAAAGGTACTGACGTTGGAATTCCAGTTTTAGCTATTCATACCGATCCTGCTTACTATCCAAACCCTGAGAAATTTGATCCTGAGCGTTTTTCTGAAGAAAATAAACATTCGAGACCCAATTTTACGTGGCTTCCCTTTGGTGAAGGACCAAGGCTGTGCATCGGTACGAAATACTAATTAGTTTAATTTCTCTTAAATAATGCTTACTTTGTTTTGTAGGTTTAAGATTCGGAATGCTACAAAGTAAAGTTGGTTTGGCTACTCTTTTGAAGAACTACAAGATTTCATTAAGTTCACAAACAAGGCTTCCACTGAAATTAGAAGCGAAGGCTTTTATTACGTCTGCAGAAGGAGGTATTTGGTTAGATGTTGAAAAATTAATGTAATAACGTTTTGACATTTACTCTTATTTTATATGTATGATACGTATGTGACATATCCAAGTAAAATAAATTAAAACTTGTTTCATAATAAAGAAATGTGCAACTAATATGTTGGTTCACCAATAATAAATACATTCATTGGTAGCATTACTGTTTTTTACGCCCTATTTTGAGTGAATCTTTATCACCAGTAGGTTCATATCCTTATCATATTATTTATGTTTTCCTAATTTGTAGTTAAAATCTGTTCACCACATTAGATAAAATTTTAAAATATCCCTTTTAAAATGCTAGAAAATACTTGTGAAGATATGCTTTATGAGATATGTCTTAATGTAAAAAAAGTCATATTTCCTTGCTTCAAAGTGTCAAAATGTGGCATGTTTGTTACATGTACAAAAGATATTAGGTGTAATTAATTTCTAAGTAAACGAGGAATTTTTGTCAAATTTCTCAAATATTATTCATGAAAAAACCTACCAACAGTAAAATCATGAATGTCAAAAAATATTACTGTAGGTACAAATTTTCCATGATGTTTGTGAAATCTTAACTCATCAATCATTATCAAAGTACGAAAATTCACTTTAATTACAAAACAAATGAAGGCATGAAAAGTAGCCAATTAGAATGACAACAGCAAAAATGAATAGTTCTGTTCGTATTTTCACCCTTCTGTTCGTTATGAAAGCTTTTCATCATATATTCTCTTGTGTCGAATTTTCTGATACCCAGAAAAATTATCTACATTTTCCCGTATAGTAACTAATGATAAAAAAGGTAAATCATGAGCAGGCGTCAAAAAAACTGATGATTAATAAATTCGAATTAAGACTGGTTGGTTGACTTTTTTGAAACCTTGAAAAGGCTGGCCTTAATATAGAAATGGTTTGAGGAGTGCAGTTTAAATCTAAGTTCTGGAGCAACAATATGAATTGAAAATCTTGTTGGTTCTCCTACTAAGGTTGGTAGTCAAATCCTGTCTCATTATTTGATACTTTTGTCTCACTCCTTATTATGAAGTCAACTAATTACTAACCCGAAAGGAGGACAACGCAATATAGACAGATAGATAGATAGTATATTTGTGTTAGAATACAAGTATTTACACACGTCAAAATAAAATTACATTCATCGTTACATTTTTCTTATAATAAAATAAAGAATTAATTTGTTATACATAAAACATAAAATAAAATTATCTACTTAAATATTAAACTAAATTAAATTACACAGCTTCTGCAACTAAATCACTAAAATTATTTCTTAAAAATTCATCACAATTGTAGAAAGTTTTTTCTACGAGATATTTTTTTATTTTATGTAAAAAGATTTTTGGTGGAAGTTTTTTAATTAATGTGGGAATAATATTATAATATTTAATAGCTAAATAATGCGTTCCATCTCTAGTTTTAGTCAACCTTAATGTATTATATGCAACCATCTCCGTTCTTGTATAATATTGATGACTTTCATTGAGTAACGGGAAGGATGTAAGATTAGTGACAATATATTCCAAACATTTATAAATAAATAAAGAGGGTAATGTGATAATATTCAGTTCCCTAAAATACTGCCTGCAGTCGTCTCTATATCCAATGTTAGCTATGACTCTGACAGCTCTTCGTTGTAGTTTAAACACACTTTGAAGTGAGGACGAGTGACCCCAAACCAAGATACCATACTGAAGATGCGAATGTATTAGAGCAAAATATACTGTTCTAAGAAAAGTTTGTGAGAGACTGTTAGACATGAATCTTAAAAAATATATACCTTTGGAAATTTTATTTGAGACTTGTTCTCCATGTTTGTGCCAGTTCAATTGCCAATCGATGTGTAAACCAAGAAATTTTGCAAAGGCTGAATAGGTATTGTCTAAAACAGTATGTTTTAAGGTGAATAACATCTGGACAGTTTTGTCTTTATTTAAGGACAATCTGTTGATCACAAACCATTCTTCAGCTAAGGTATTAAGTTGCGTCTTCTTGGTAGTAAGGTTATCTAAAGATAAATCTGATGTACTTATAGTTGTATCATCAGCATACAAAATTATGTCAGTCTGATTAAGAAGGTTTGGTAGATCATTTATATATAGTAAGAAAAGTACCGGTCCCAATATAGACCCTTGGGGCACACCATATTCAACATTCAATGTGCTTGATAGTTTTCCATCTATTTTAACACATTGACTTCGGGTACTAAGATAAGACAATAGTAGCTTCGTAGCACTAGGATGAAAATTATAATAAAATAGTTTTCTTATTAGAACGTCATGGGAAACACAATCAAACGCTTTGCTGAGGTCCAAAAAGGATGTGGAGTAAATTTTTTTAGATTCAAAAGATTCAAAAACATTATTAGTAAAATCTAAAATTGCTGATATGGTAGAGCGACCTTTGGAAAATCCATATTGGCACTGCGATAAGATATCATTTGCTTGTAAATAATCTAAAATTTGATTAAGCAGTAGTTTCTCTAATATCTTGGACAAAACAGGGAGAAGAGAAATAGGTCGGTAATTGTTTAATTCATCAGAGTCTCCTTTTTTATGTATAGGCACAACTAAGGCCACTTTCAAACAAGAAGGGAAGATATTTTCTTCTATACAATAATTACACAACTTCGTGATCTCAGAAATTAGTAAGTTTTTTACATATTTTATTAATGGGACAGAAAAACCATATATATCTTTGGCGTTACTATTATGTAAACTATTTATAGCATCTCTTACCTGGACACAAGATACCTTTTTAAATAGAAAGACACAATTATGCATAGTACTGGTGTTTGTCATAATAGATATTGGATCACGACTTGCAGTAGGCAACTTATTGACAATACATTGTGCTATTGTTGAAAAATGTTGATTAAATTGATCAGGAGTTATGTTACAATTAATTTGTTTTTTCTTAGCTTTGTGATTATTGACAATGGTCCACAATGCTCTTGGCTTATTTTTGTTATCAAAAACAAATTTTTCTGCTGCGTTGATTTTTGCTTTTTTAATAGATAATTTATACCGCTTTTTATACGAATCTAGGAGTGTTTTTAATTCTGTAGTACCGTGTAACTTATATGCATCTTTAATCAATTCTAAGGTTCCTCTCATTTTATATAAGTCACTAGTAAACCATTTACAGTTATTAGAATTATGTCTACAAGAAACAACTGTCTTAGATGGAAAGGCTAAGTCAAAGTAGTAGCACATTGTATTTAAAAACATGGTAAATTTATTTTCTATATCAATATCCGAATTTATGAAATCCAACCTGGCTTTACTAAGTATAGTGAAGAAGATAAATTTTCCATATTGTGTTATAGGTTTTACAATTTTAATTTCTTGTTTGTCTTCTTTGCATATTTTAAGACCTATTATATTTTGTAACGATATCACTACACCAGTGTGATCGGATACATCATACTTAAACGGCATAACTTTACAACAATCTGGTGTAATATTAGTGTAAACATTATCTAAGCGAGATAATCCTCTCGTTGGGAAATTTACTAAATGTTTCATGCCGAAACTTGTCATTAAGTCAGTTAAAACTTTAACAGTTTTATCATCCTTTTTCTCAAAATGTAGATTAAAATCACCACCAAGTAATATATTCCTATTTTTAAAGTCTAAACAGTTAAACACTTGTGTTAATTTGTCAATGAAATTTTTAAAGTGTCCGGAAGGTGATCTATAAATGACAACAATATACAGATAAAATGCAGGGAAGTACGTACCTACCATTTCACAATCTTTTTCAACTGATAAATTCGTAACATTAGTTAAAGATCTGAAGTTTTTATTGTAATCAACGAGTTGGATAACGCCTCCATGGGAATGTTGCATTCTTGCATAAGCTGCTGCTGTTATAAATTTTTCAAAGAAGACAAATTCTGTTTCAGTGGTGGTGAGCCAGTGTTCACTTAACACAAATTTATAAGTTTGCAACAATGCGTCCATAATATTAACTTTGTTCCTCAAACATTGTACGTTTAGAAAAAGCACCTTAAAGTTTTCTTCTTTATCAGTTGGTTGCTATGCAATGTAGTTAATTTTATTTTTGTTAATTTCCACTTGTCTTTTGTATACCTCACAGTTACAATCAAAACGAGAGTGTTCAATATTTAACTGCAAATTTAATTTCTTGTTGACTTTCACGCAGTTTATACATATAGGTTCCTGTTCACACTCTTTTTCAGAATGATCATCTTTTCCACAATTCAGACATTTCGGATGATTTTTTTTACACTTCTCAGCCATATGGTTAAAGCCACCACATTTGAAACATCTAAGAGTGTTAACATGTTCATACAGGGCGCACTCACTCCATTGTATAAAAACTGTTTTTAAGGCCATAAATTGGGAGAAAGTATTTGGATCAACTTCAATAATGGCTAAATATTTTTTGATCATTTTCTTGCAAGTTACGAGTTTGAAAATACCCGTTATATCTTTAAGTTCGGCGTTTTGCTTAATGAGACATTCTTTTAAGTCTTCCACATCAAGTTTTTGAGCAAGTCCAACAATTTTAATTTTGGGGTTTCGCAATTCTATTCTTTTATGTGGAAATTATCACCCAGGTTAACTTTTGCTACCTCTTCCAGTTTTCTAGTTTCTTCTTGATTGTTGCATGTTACAGCGATTCCGCCGTCTTTTAAAGGTTTAATTTTCGTAATTCCAACTTCAATTTGTTCAGGTTTGATTTTCTGTTTCAGTGTTTCAATTGTAGCTGATGTCTCTTGCGTATTTTTTGGTCTTAATATAACAACGTCTTTCTCACGTTTGACTGTTTCGCTGTATGATTTTTTGGGAGGGAGACTCTGCTCCTGGTTGACTTGAATTTCGGGTATTACCATCGAATTTTGAAGTTCAATGAACTTCCCATTTATAGTATCATTGATTTCTTTTTTCATAGATAAGAAATAATCAGAGAATTCCGCTTTCACCTGGCTGATAATGTTTTGTGGGTCATTTTTCAATTGAAGTTGTGTTAATTCTAGTTTTTTTTTTAAGTCGTCATTTTCCTTCTTAAGGCTGTTATTTGCAACTTTAAGTGTTTGGATCGCATCTTGAAAAGTTGCTTCAATTGTACTGATGTCACGGCAATGATCTTCGCATAACATGACTTTATCCGTAATTGTTGTAAATTGTTTGCCTCTATTTATGAGTTGCTGCATACAACTTTTATGATAATACTTGTCACACTTTGCACATTTAGTAAACACAACTTGGACTTTTTCTTTGCACTTTCTACACACTTTTTCGACATTTCCACCTGGATCGATGTCTCGAGCATGTTGCGATTGCGACATGGTATATGTATATATAAAACTGTAGACAGCAGTTTCGACATCCTTTGGTTTCACATTTCAGTGGTTGTGTAGCATTAGAGTTAGTAATTCTTTAGCGGCATAAACGAAGCGGAAGTCTTCCATAAGAAAAGGGTACATTGGTGTGGTTCAATTATTAAATACGCAATATTTGTGACAAAAGATGTAACCCGTCAAGTCACTACGGACATCTTATATCCCGCTAATATCATTATGACGTATTACTGAAATAATCAAAAGAACATGGTAAATACAAAACACGCTTTTAAGTGGTGACAAGTAGCAGCAGAAATTGTTAATGTAAATAATGAATAATTTGGCGTGCACTCTCCTAATAAGTAACATATGACAAACACTTTCCTAAAACGCAATCAAACACACTACACACCCTTTAGTCAGTATTGATGTGACGTCTATCTTTAATATCTTTCTTGTTAGTTTATGGCATAGAATGCCACACAAAAAAAAGACAAACTTTTTTCCATTCACATGTTCAACTGATGGCTATTTTGTATTATTACTAATTTTAAAACATTCATAAATTAACATACAAAAATCAATATATTTTGATAATATTAATGACTTCTCAATTAAATGATATTAGGCAATGGTGAGTATTTCATATCTTATCCGTAACTGATAAAAAATACGTATATAAATATAAACGTAAACCCATATAAATTCACTGTACAATATTCTATGCAGACTAACTCAAGATAATCACAAACCTGGGTACATCAAGAAGAGTGGTAAGCTTAAAACAGTTTAATTGTATATAAAATTACATGACATATTAAATTTATTTTTAGGATATTAAACAGTTCTTTGTCTTCGAAATTTACAATAATGTCAATTTTGACAGAGAATCTTGTTTTTGATCTAGTAGCCATTGTGGTAACAATCCTAGTGGGAATTATCGGAGTACTAAAATGGCGTTTGACGTACTGGCAAAGAAGAGGTCTACAAACTCTAAATCCCACCCTACCGTTTGGCGACACCCAAGATTTTCTTCTTGGACGTAAAACATTGGGTGAACAATTTCAAGAATTTTACAAAATATTCAAATCGCAAGGGCAAAGACACGGTGGAATTTATTTAGGGCCGCGACCCTTCTACCTTGCAATTGACCCAGATATCGTTAAGCATATCATGCAGAAAGACTTTTCTCATTTCATGAATCACGGCAATTACATAGACGAAGATGCGGATCCTCTAAGTGGACATCTTTTCAATTTGGAAGATGCGAAATGGAGAAACATGAGAGTCAAATTAACACCGACTTTTACTTCTGGTAAAATGAAAATGATGTTTCAAACTTTAGCTGATTGTACGGTAGGTTTGAAAGATATTATGAATGAATCAGCTGTGAATCATAAACCAGTTGACATCAAAGATATTTTGGCGCGTTTTACTACTGATATTATAGGTTCAGTTGCATTTGGTTTAGAATGCAACAGTCTTAAAAACCCAAATGCCGAATTTAGGAAATATGGCAGAAAAGTGTTCGAAGTTAGTCTATTAGACAGGCTTAAAGTAATTTTGATTTTTACTCTGCCTCATGCAATTTTACGAGCATTTAGGTTCAAATTCACGAAAAATGATGTCGAAAAGTTTTTCATGAACGCGATCCGCGACACCGTCTCCTACAGAGAAAAGAACAACATTTACAGAAAAGACTTTATGCATTTACTTTTGCAATTGAAAAACAGAGGAACCGTGGCAGATGATGAGAAAATAACTGACGAACATGGGAAGACCCAAGAGAAAGCGTTGACTATGAACGAACTCTCTGCTCAAGCTTTTGTTTTCTTCTTAGCCGGATTTGAAACTTCGTCTACAACAATGACTTTTGCATTATATGAACTCGCAAGTAACCCAGAAGTACAGGAAAAACTGAGGGAAGAGATCAATACCGTTATGGAAAATCACAACGGAAAATTAACATATGACGCCGTGATGGAAATGACTTACATGGAAAATGTGTTACACGGTAAGCACTTTTCGTGCAGGGTATTTTGATTAAAAATAATAATCGCTTTTTAGAAACTTTACGTAAATACCCTCCAGTAGCACTTTTGACAAGGAAATGCAACAAGGATTACAGAGTTCCAAAGTCAGATATACGATTGGAAAAAGGGATTGGGGTTGGAATTCCAGTTTTGGCTCTCCACATGGACCCCGAGTATTATCCAAATCCAGAGAAGTTTGACCCAGAAAGATTTTCCGAGGAAAATAAAAACTCCAGACCAGCTTTTACTTGGCTTCCTTTTGGTGAAGGACCTAGGCTCTGTATTGGTAAGACACTTGATTATGTTTTAAGTTTTGTTTAAATATTTCTTCCTAGGTTTGCGATTTGGAATGTTACAAAGTAAAGTTGGATTGGCTGCTCTTTTGAAAAATTACAAAATTACATTGAGCCCCAAGACTAAAGTTCCAATGAAATTAGATCCGACGTCCTTCATCACATCCGCAGAAGGTGGCGTATGGTTGGATGTTCAGAAATTAAATTAGTGAAACAAAGAATGAACGACAAATTTTGTATTTTCATTGTCTTGTTTAACATATTTATGTTATGCTGTTCTTGGAATGATACGTTTTTATTATCTACTAAAATTCTCACGTTAAGAAACAATAAATAAATACAATTATTATTCGCCCGTCATTTGCTCCACAATTTGATATTATTATAATTTTCAACTTCTGTGTTTGTTAGTTTAAAAGCAAGTATCATTAATTAAATTGTTTTATATTAGTTGATAATAATCAAAACAAGGGCACATGTAGAGTATGTGTGACAAACTGCCGCTCATAAATAACTAATGAAATAAATTTTCTTTTTCATTACTCTCCTGAATGTGGAATTCGAAAATACTCTCAACTCTTTCATAAACGGCATTTTTCTGTGTAGGTGATGTGCTCAATTATATCTAAATTTTAAATAAAAGCTGCACTAATTTTCTGTTACCACTTCGATTGTCTCCGGCTAGATGGTAATCCCAAAAGTGGTCAAATCAACATTACGAATATCAGAAAATTTAGAGAACACAATTTTAAACCGTTGATACAGTCGAAGCAATATAATTCTATATATTTTTTTATGGAGATCACCCGTGACATAGTTTCTTGTGGAGCGAAGTACGCCCTTAGTTGTCACAATTACTTTACAAATTTTTCGTCAGCTATAAAACAAAACTACCAGGAAAGTTACCTATGTTCAAGTTAATGTCAAACTTGAATTTGGATTTGCTTTTTAGATTCGCATAACGAGATTTTTATTGGATATGGATGAATGTCAATGTACAGTGTGATGTGTTCACCATTTACCTGGTCCAAAGCCAATTATTCGCATTTCGAAAGGGTAAACACGAATCCAAAACCAAAATTAAAGCCAATTTGATCATATAAAAATGCGGGGAAATTACGCTATTTAACAGTACTTGACGGAAAAAGGTTTTATTAATTTTGCATGCATATTCTTATTTCGAGAAAAAGCTGCATTATTAGACTATTATTGCTGTTTCATGTTATAAATTGACGTCTTTCCACCTGCATCATTATAAAAGATGCTAATGCAGTAATTAAATTTGTGGTCAACAAAATTTTTGTTTGTTCACTTGCATGTTCTCGTGTAGTTATTTCGCATGACTATCCTTTTTAAAAGTTATAAAGGAACTATCGTGGCATAATTACATCAGTTACAACCTGTGTAATGAAATATTTACTAGATAATATTAAAATGTCAGACTCTGATCTCTAAAATGGATGTCCTTCAAAAAATCAACTATCTAGATGTAGTAGGAATAGTGGTTGCAGTGTCAGTGATAGTGATAGTTTACCTAAAATGGAAATTTTCCCAACTGCAGAAACTCGGAATTCCCACACTATCCCCTTCAATTCCATTCGGAGACACTAAAAAATTAATGCTCGGACAATACACTTTCGGTGAACAGTTTGCAGAATTTTATAAAGAATTTAAATGCCGCGGTTTAAAACATGGTGGAGTTTACCTTGGCGCCAAACCCTTCTACGTCCCTATAGATCCTGAATTAATAAAGTGCATCATGCAAAAAGACTTTCAACATTTTGTAAATCATGGATTTTTCATCGACGAACATCATGATCCTTTAAGCGGACATTTATTTAACTTGGAAGACACCAAATGGAAAAACATGCGGATCAAATTAACACCTACGTTCACATCCGGTAAAATGAAGATGATGTTCCAGACACTCGCTGACTGTACCGTTGGTTTAAAAACAGTAATGGATAAATCTGCCGTCGAGCACACTCCTCTAGATATTAAGGATATTTTAGGTCGATTTACAACGGACATAATAGGATCAGTGGCCTTCGGTTTAGAATGCAATAGTCTGAAAGACCCTGATGCATTATTTAGAAAATACGGTAAAAGAGTTTTCGAGATAGATACATGGGAACGTCTCAAATTTATAATGCAGTTCGCATTTCCTCGTAATTTGTTGAAGGCTATTAAATTTAAAATGACAAAACCAGAAGTTGAAAATTTCTTTATGAAAGCGGTAAGAGATACTGTGGCTTACAGAGAAAAGAATAACATCTCAAGAAAAGATTTCATGCATTTACTCATTCAACTGAAAAATAGAGGGACTGTTGTAGACGACGATAAAATTACTGACGAAGGAAAAACTGAAGAGAAAGCTTTAACTATGAATGAGTTAGCAGCTCAAGCTTTTGTGTTCTTTTTAGCAGGGTTTGAAACATCGTCCACGACCATGACTTTTGCGCTGTTCGAGCTAGCAACAAATCCTGAGATACAAGATAAACTAAGAAATGAAATTAGTTCAGTGTTGACTAAATATAATGATGAACTAACATATGATGGAATTATGGAAATGACGTATATGGACAAGGTAATAAATGGTAAGAATACAATTAACTAAAAATAATTCTTCTACTAACTGATTTTATTAAAAGAAACGCTAAGGAAATATCCTCCAGTTCCTATGCTCATGAGAAAATGTAATAAGGAGTACTTAATTCCAAATACGTCCATCATCTTACCTAAAAACATGGATGTTGATATAGCGGTTCTAGGTTTACATAAGGACAATGATTATTATCCGAATCCAGAAGTCTTCGACCCAGAACGTTTCTCTGATGAACAAAAATCTTCCAGACCAGCATTCACATGGCTACCGTTCGGTGAAGGACCCAGAGTTTGCATTGGTTAGTGTCTTATAAATATAATATTTAAAGTAAATAAATCTCCATTTTCAGGTTTACGCTTCGGGATGTTACAAAGCAAAGTTGGTTTAACAACCTTGTTGAAAAATTACAAGATAAAGTTAAGTTCCAAAACCAAGACTCCCTTGGAATTAGACAAAAACAGTTTTGTCACTACTGCAGAGGGTGGAATATGGATAGATGTAGAGAAATTAAACAAAAAAAATTAGTATAATATCAACTTAAGCATAATACTTGTAATAGCTGAATTCTTACAAAAATGTAACAATAAAATGTGTTAAAAGCCTAATCTCAAGTGATAATATAAAACTATTTTTACTTTTATCTTGAGTCGTTTTATGTTGTTTGACGCGTATTACTAATATGAGTAATATGTTTTAAAGATTATATACAAGAGCATGTACAAAATCAAAAATAAAAAAAAAAGCACAACATTAATGAAGTGGCATTTATTCTACAGTAGAAAATATCGTTAAAAATAGCAATAGACAAACCTTTCAATACCTAAACCTACAAGGTAAAAAGAAAATGGACAGATCCAATTTTATTCGACAAAAGGTACCCTGTTTAAAAAGCCAACAAAATAAAAAAAAATATGATTGATAGTGTAACTTCCGAACAAATTTTAGGGACTGTTTTAAGTAGATTTTTCTTACTTCTTTAGCACCTTGCAGATCCATCTAAGTGCAAAATCGCGCAAATTAGATCTGAGTATAGGGACTAGTAAAATAAATTTAATGATGCCTACTAGATGAATAGTCTTAGATAAATCATAGTGGTAATAATAGCAACTAGGCAATAACTTTGTTAAAAAATGTGTGAAACCAACACCAAAGCTTACTCAAGTAACACAACTAACGATTGAACAATAGTCTAGCTATCCAGCTTTGAACTGTTTTCCACAGTCGCCTTGGGGCCCTGGAACTTGTGAGTGTGTGAGTTTGACATGTAAATGCCATTGATACACTCTAAATCTGACAGTTGGCAAAAAAAAATGGCATGGAAATATAAAAACAATAAGTTCCGGACATTCACAAAAGACAATAAATAAAGAAAATCTTATTTTTTGCATTATGGTTAACAAAATTGCAATGTATATTATTTACTCATGTTTACTGAAACCATAAAGTAATTTGATTGAAAAATTAAAAAAAAATACCATATGTAAGATACATATATATGTTACAGTCAAAGCGTACATTTCAGCGAATGTATATGTTACAGCTAATATCCGAAATACGTTATTATGCATAATAACTAGATATTTTAGGAATTATGCATAATAACTAAACTTGTCAGTTATTATGCATAATAACCGGAAACATTAGGAATTATGCGTAATAACTGAATTTTTCAGTTATTATGCACAATAACGGAAATGTTTAGGTAATTTTGATAATAACTAACAGAGGAACAGGAATTATGCATAATACCTGAAACATTAGTCATTAAGAATATTGCCTAATAGGCCAGGGCCGATAATTTTTGAGAACAAAAAAATTTAGGACAGGATGATACCCATTGGAAAAGAAAGAAAATATAACAAATTTTTATAAAAAACATGCCAACAAAGAAGATATCGCAAAAAATGGATTACAATTAATCAAATATATTTATAAATGTAAAAATGACAATATAACACTCAATCAATTAAGATTTCGAAAAACAATTGACAAGAATTAAATCATCTTTCACATTGACAAATCTCCCACCAACAGAAGGCGTTTGTTTCATGGATTTTAAATTTTTGAGTTTATCAGCGTAATATGGAATCTTACTTTTTTCGGGTAATTAAAGTGTAAATTTTAATAAACAGCCCAAAATTTTACATGATTAAAAAAATATTTCGAATTCGAGTTTTTTCGTTTTTTGCATTTCCTGTGAAAATTTGCCATAGTAATGTATAATTTTTTTTACACCATCAGAAAATAGAGATTTCAACGATCAAAAAGCACACCGATTTTTTAAAAAAAGCAAATATTTTGACGTGAGAATTTTCGATTGAAAATTAGGGTGGTTTTTCGATATTAAATCAAAATAAGGGGGAAAAATAAATATTTTGAATAAAAAAAATTACAGTGAGTTTGGGACATAAATAGGTAAGTTTTCACCAAATTTCGTGAAAAAATAAACTTTTTTGTGGGAGATAAAAATAAAAAACCAAAAACTCGGTTATTTGAATTTTTCGCATAAATTTTGAGGCTATGTAAAAAAAGTCTAAATACAAAAGTTGTAGATCCTTTTATTACCTAGAACTTTGCTATTTAACTTTTTTCGATAGGACTTGTAGTTTTGCCGGAAATCGTGATAAACCGTTTCCTACCTTTAAAAGCTCACCCTCTTCCTCTTTCGGACCTCAAATCGCCCGTAAATTATTTTTCCTTTTATTTTTGTTATGTTTTCTTCCTTTCCCAATGGGTATCATCCTGTTCTAATTTTTTTTCACTTTTTACCATTTTCAAAGGCTTCGGCACTGGCCTATAACATGTCCAGCTGATTTCAAAAAAACGGGACAAGATGAGCAATTCAGGTTCTCATAGATCAATGAAAAGCAATGGGAATATGACGTTTATATAACTGTAATTTGTCCCTTTTTTTTAAATCAACTGTACATGTGATATATAGGGGAAAGCGAGGCAGGGTGGGTAGCTTTTTGGAAAATATTATGCATAATTCCTGTTCATCTGTTAGTTATTATCAATATTACCTAAACGTTTCCGTTATTATGCATAATAACTGAAAATTTCAGTTATTACGCATAATTCCTAATGTTTCCGGTTATTATGCATAATAACTGATAAGTTTAGTTATTATGCATAATTCCTAAAATGTCTAGTTATTATGCATAATAACGGATTTCGGATATTAGCTGTAACATATACACTGACTAGTCAATGTATACATTGACTTACGGTTTTAGCCAAAGTATTCACTGCGCATGGAAATGGATACTTTTACTAGTAAATGTATACATTCACTAGACAGTGTATGCATTTACTGCAGTCTGTTAGTAAAAGCTTCAATAAAAAGAAATACTTAAATATCACAATTGAGGAGCTCAGAAAAGAAGTAGTACAAGTGACATTTTTATTAAAAATGAGTTAAGTGCTGAACAGTATATTCACTAATGCTTATGGAGAAATAGAAATAACATGTTTTTGCATTTTTCACTTCTGCCTTTAACTTTAGATATTTTTCTAAATTCATCCGAAAACTGTTGGGTTTTTGCGGGATTTTTTCAATGCGTTCATAAAACTTTGTTTTTATTGCAGTTTTATCCATTGTAGATAATATTAAACTAACACTTAATATGTACTACACACCACACAAAAACAATAAATCACAAATACCTCTAAAACATCAGTAGGTACAATGTGAGGTTATGTCACCATGTATTATTTGGTGCATACTTTGACTAAACGGGAACCGTTAATGTATACATTGACTAGTTAAAGCTTGCACATCGTCCATTGTGAACACATTTACTGAGCAAATCAGTCAATGCATACATTGGCTAGTCAGTGTATACATTGACGGAATGAACACTTTGACTGTAACATATACATATAGAATACGTATGTATTTAGTTCTTTATTTATGCATATACACGCATATATACACCGTATAGCAGAAAAACTTTCATTGGGTAAATAATGGTTAATTCATTTAGTAAGTAGAAATGTATGACAATTGGTAATTAGTAATTACAGATTTTGGGAGATGTGTTAGCTGGCTGCGTTTTTTATTTATATACATACGCTTGATTTCAATAAAATCCCGTACAGATGACAATCTGAATTTGTATCCATGCTATTGATTTTGTATTGATTTTGACACAACGTAAAAGTGAGGTTGTACGGGATTATTGTAAGAGTAACTGTATAAGAAACGGGCAACCATAAAGTCTATATTAATTTTACCAAATTACTTTATAATGAAAATTTTATATGTAACACGTTTGTGAACCGCTGTTAGCGCTCTCCAAAAATTCATAAAAAAAAAATCATTCTAGTGCGTTGAAGTACCATTTCGTGTACTAATCACATCAACATCGTCGTCTGGAGGGCAATACCGAGTTTCAAAGGTTGAATTTAAAAAAAAGGTATAGTGCCTTAAAAAAATGTCATATTATTTGCTCATATTGGCTACTTTGATATAACGTGCAGTCGACAAAAACCGTCCTCAAGACAACGTGGGAGAGTAAAGTGTCTCTCTCCTCCTTCGTGTAGGGTGCATACAACGAGAAAAATAGCTTGTTCGTCCACCCCAAATTAAGGAAGTTTTTTGCTAAGCGAACCTGTTTTTTAAAGAAATGCTGAATATTGATTTCATTTCTGGTTTAGAAGTTACCACTAGAATAACTTTAGTTTAATACGAAATAAAAATTTAAAGAGGTTTTTTTTTTAATATACCTTACAATTAAAAAACACAATAATATTTTCAATTTATAAAACCACATTCAAAATAAACTGTCTATCATTTTAGGTTTAGAAAATAAGCAAAACAATCTAGCAACATTAGTTACCTTTATTAACTTATTTCTTTCAACGCAGACGGAAATCCATGAAATTGAGGATAAGTATCAATTTTACCTTCATATAACTGTTTTTGTTTCCACTTGAACAACCACTCAAATCAAATTATATTTGAAAATTTGGTACACGACGTCAGAAGGAGATAGTTTATCAAAAATTCAACATCACTACTTAAATCCAACACGGTTAACAAAATTCAAAATTACATATATCTAGAAAAATTACTTGAGCTCTGTTTATTTAAAGAAAGCGTCTAATCGTCAAAATTTTCTTTCATTAATCGAAATAGATACCGAAGAAAACAAAAAATGGGAACTCTAGAATGCTGATTTAAACACTAAATACAACAATTAAACCAAGCCGCATTTATTATATTTATGTTATAATTACTGGTTTCAAAACTTACATAACAGTGTGATTAATGTGTATAAAAACAAATAACGCTGATATTACTCAGCAAAGTAACAGAATAATTTTATCAACTCATGCTTGGAATCGAGCATGAACTTGCAAGTTGGAATGAGATATCATTGTAGTGACTCAACATTTATTATTTCGTTGATAAAACTCAGCGATCATCGTTTTCATTGTCTCTTTAATCAGTCAATAATAAAAAATTAGGTATGGCAATTTCATCCTTATTATTTAAAACAGTGCGGAGCTGTTAGGTTCTGCTTAACA